CCTCAGCCTCCTGAGTAGCTGGGATTACAGGCACGCACCACCATGCCCAGCTAATTTTTTGTATTTTTAGTAGAGACGGGGTTTCACCATGTTGCAGGATGGTCTTGATCTCTTGACCTCGTGATCCACCCGCCTCGGCCTCCCAAAGTGCTGGGATTACAGGCTTGAGCCACCGCACCCGGCCTTCAGCCTGTCCTTCTTAACATTCTCCCCTTCCTCAGCTTCTGTGATAGCAGGTGATGCTCTTTGACTAGCCCCTCAGTGGTCCTACCTCCTTTAAGGGTCCTCTTAATGTAACTACCCCGTTGGCTGAGACAAAGCCTTCTGAGTTTCTCCTTATGTTGCCTTCTTCCTTAAATGTTGTTATCTATTTTTCTGACTTCAGATTTCACACTGAGAATAAAGGAAGAATTGGCACAAATTCTGATTGACCGCATACATATGGGACTCCACCCAATAGTCCACACTTATTTAGCGGTCCTCATTCTCAGAGTGACACACTTTCCTGCAGTTGCTGCCTTTTGGTGCCCATTTACACAAGAGGCCAATTCTAGGCAGGAAATGCCGATGGGAGGGTTTATAGTCCAGGCACACCCATTTGCTCGTGTGGCCTTCCTTAGAGAATTCTTGAGTAGATTTGGTCTTTTTATATCCCCCGATCCTGGTTCCCTGCCCCAGGATAGGATTTTGACACCAGCCACCATCCTCACCCATCTCTGTGTGGCACAAGAATTTCCATTTCTAACAAGTCCCCAAGTCCCCTGGTGATACTAACGCAGCTGGTCTGGACACACTATTTTGAGAACTTCAGTAGTAGAGCCACAAGCACAGGTTTTGAAGCTACATATACCTGGGTTTAAAGTCCCTGCTTTGCCAGTTACTAGCGTGGGACCTCAGGTTCTCTGTGCCTCCATTTTCTCATCTATAAAATGAGGCTGATACCATTTACCATGCAAAACTGTGAGGGTCAGGAATATGTTACATAAAGCACCTGTGCATACGTTGTTAGTGCCCATGATGGTCATCTTCCCTCCCTCCCTCCTTTCATCCCTCCCTTCTTTCGTTTTCCCCTCCCTTCTACCCTCCCTCCGTTCTTCCTTCCTTCCTTCCCTCATTCATTTTTTTTTTTTTGAGATGGAGTTTCACTCTTGTCGCCCAGGCTGGAGTGTTATGGCGCGATCTCAGCTCACTGCAACCTCTGCCTCCTGGGTTCAAGTGATTCTCCTGCCTCAGCCTCCTGAGTAGCTGGGATTACAGGCATGTGCCATCATGTCTGGCTAATTTTGCATTTTTGGTAGAGAAAGGGTTTCTCCATGTTGGTCAGACTGGTCTCGAACTCCCAACCTTAGGTGATCTGCCCGCCTCGGCCTCCCAAAGTGCAGGGATTACAGGTGTGTGCTACACCTGCAGCAATACCGTCAGCATATCCTGAGAATGAGCCTGATGGCAGACACAGCTGACAGCAGCTCTTCAGAATGAGGGTTGCCATGTGGAGGTTACTGGGTGGGGTGAAGGTGCCTATAAACTGCATGCTTTTTATATGCGGTTGCAGTTCTCCTGTCCGGCCTGTTGACACTGGACTGTTCCCGTATGTAAATTTCTCCAATAAACTGTAGGTCTTGTTCACTGGCTCTAGGTCTGTTCATCAGCCTCTTGAACTGGTGCCATCCCTGCTGAAGTCAACAGGGGCCCAGCACAACCAACCATGCCTGGCTTAGCAGTTATAAATAAAACGTATAAATTTATGGTTTTAAAATATTCAAAAACAAATTTGGGATACTTAATTTGCTGAGTTAGGAAAAAATCCTAAACCACAAAAATATATCTGTCATCACCATTATTTCATAAAATAAAAGGCATTTTTTTTTTTTGAGACGGAGTCTTGTTCTGTTGCCAGGCTGGAGTGCAATGGCACAATCTCGGCTCAGTGTAACCTCCGACTCCCAGGTTCAAGCAATTCTCCTGCCTCAGTCTCCCAAGTACTGGGATTACAGGCATATGTCACCACGGCCAGCTAATTTTTGTATTTTTGGTGCAGATAAGGTTTCACCATTTTGGCCAGGCTGGTCTTGAACTCCTGACCTCAGGTAATCCACCCGCCTTGGCCTCCTAAAGTGCTGGGATTACAGGCGTGAGCCACTGTGCCTAGTCAAATAAAGGGCATTTTAACACATATATCCACTAAAAAAGGACATCAGCCCAGAACATGCAGAACTTTGCATTAATTGCAGTTAGCTTAATAGAATACTCACTGTCTGATCTGTGTGGTTCCCACACTCTGCTAGACTCGTGAACACATTGTCATAAATCAGCACTAGTCCAGAAATGGCATTTTGGAACAGCTGAGCAGTTGTATCTTCCAGTGACCATCAACATCTGGCAGTTGCTCCCCGTGTCTCTCTTGATTGCCTGCCTGGTTTCTGTGCAGTGCCAGGTTCCATTGCTTTTGACATGAATGAGAAATGTGGCAGGAATCCAAATGACTCTTGCTCTTGACCTTTTGGCAGTTGGGATTACTGGCACTGAGCAGTACCAGACTGAGGAAGCGCGTAAGAACCAGACTTCTAGTTAAAGCCTTGAGCAGAAGTAAAGCAGAGAGGTTTCAGCAAACAGCAGAACCTGCTAGAGCGTGCACTTATTCATTCATCCAACAAATACCTATTAATTTGCCATGTGTCTGGCACTGTTTTAGGGTCTGGAGTGACAGCAGAACAGTTCAGTATAGTGTAACAGCTCAGAACAGTGTAATCGTTCAACTATTATAGTGAACAAAATAGGCAAAGTCTTACATTGGGAAAAGCAGAGTCAAAGTTATTCTATTCAAGACAGAAGTTCAGTGGCTCATATCTGAAATCCCAGAACTTTGGGAGGCTGAGGTGGGCAGATCACCTGAGGTCAGGAGTTCGAGACCAGCCTGGCTAATATGGTGAAACCCTGTCTATACTAAAAATACAAAAATTAGCCAGAAGTGGTGGTGCATGCCTGTAGTCCCAGCTCCTCGGAAGGCTGAGGCAGGAGAATTGCTTGAACCTGGGAGGTGAAGTTTGCAGCAAGCTGGGATTATGATATTGCACTCCAGCTTGGGTAACAGAGTGAAACTCCATCTAAAAAAAAAAAAAAAAAAAAAAAAGAAGAAGTTAGACTTGATTAGATCTGATGGTAGTATTTAACAGTGAAAGTTTTTCTTTCTTTTTTGAGATGGAGTTTCACTCTGTCGCCCAGGCTGGAGCACAATGGCAGGATCTCAGCTTACTGCAACCTCCCCCTTCTGGGCTCAGGTGATTCTCCTGCCTCAGCCTCCTGAGTAGCTGCAATTACAGGCACCCATCACCACGCCTGGCTAATTTTTGTTTACTTAGTAGAGACAGGGTTTTGCCACATCGACCAGTCTGGTCTTGAACTCCTGACCTCAGGTGATCCACCCGCCTCAGCCTCCCAAAGTGCTGGGATTACAGGCGTGAGCCACCTCGCCCAGCCCTAGGTCTTTTACCAAAGCATATTTGCCCTAATTCTTGCCACAACCTTAATTTGATTTAATCTTTTCTCCTCCCACTTGCCAGCATGAATCCTTATCCATGGGATTTTATAAAGATTAAATGAAATCAAATACACTGAAACCGCGCAGGGCCAGATGAGAAATGGTGTGTGTGTATAAAATATGTGATATAGTATTATTCAATGCTTCAACTGCTCTACTCTTTCATCACTTCTTTTACAACCAAGGATTTCAGTATTTTAAGTGTGACCACCAGAGGTCTGTGTACCTGTACCTGTCTTCCCTGAGAGAGAGCTGCACCATCACTGCATACCCCTGTGACTCCTACCAGGATTACAGGAATGGCAAGTGTGTCAGCTGTGGTGCCTCACAAAACCAGTCCTGTCCCCTCCTGGGTAAGTCCAACAAGCAGTTTCGTCTCTGATTAACAAAGAACTAACTTTTGGTATGAATTCCAGAACCACTTTATCATGTAAAAACTGGCCCCACAATTGTATTAAAAACTTGTTTTTCTGCTGGGCACAGTGGCTCATGCCTGTAATCCTAGCACTTTGGGAGGCTGAGGCAGGCACAGTGGCTCATGCCTGTAATCCTAGCACTTTGGGAGGCTGAGGCAGGCACAGTGGCTCATGCCTGTAGTCCTAGCACTTGAGGTCAAGAGTTCGTGACCAGCCTGGGTAAAATGGTGAAATCCTGTCTCTGTAAAAATACGAAAAGTAGCTGGCTGTGATGGTGTGCGCCTGGAGTCCTAGCTACTCGAGAGGGAGGCTTAGGTGGGAGGATCGCTTGAGCCCAGGAGGTTGAGGCTGCAGTGAGCTGAGATCGTGCCACTGCACTCCAGC